GATTCTATATTCTTTGGGATCTCATCTGCAAGAATGAGATATCGGTTGATATGTCCCTTCCCACTAAGAACGCGGCAAATGGGTTAACTAAGCTGCTTGAAATGTTGAAATACATACATTGAAAGGAGATTATTAAGATGAAGAGATAGAAGAGATAAAATGAGTGGAATTCTTTGCTGGTTTTTTTTTTTCATTATTGCACTTTTTCCAGATACTTATATATCTATACCTGTTTGAAGGGTAAATTTTATATATAGCATTGTGTATAGTTACTTTGATGAGTAGAGGTATGAGACCTGCAGGTCTCAGCTTATTAATCCTTCTATCATATAACTTCCCACTTAGCTAGCAATCTTTTTAATCAAGCAAGCTTTACACCTTCCACATTTTAATGATCCTTTTATGTAATTTTCACTTGTAATTTTAACAATTTCTTTATATAACTTCCAACATTCTTTTGCTCTCTGTTTCATTACAACACAATCTTTTATATTTTTTTATTCTGTTTTTTTTTATACAAACTTTTTTATACAATTTTTTTTTCTGATTTTCTCCCTCTTTTTTTATTTTCTTAATCAACTTGTAAATTATATTAGAATAGTGCTAGTTATTAATCGAAGTACGCCTTTTATAAAAATAAGCAATTCAGATTATTATTCATAAAATGTTTAAATTATTATATTAGCATGTAAACAGCTGAAGTATATATCTGTCGTGTATTAATCTGTGATAAACAGTTTAAAGCTAACAAGATAAGAGTAATATTTCCATCAATTACTTTATCAAATTGATATATTATGTAATCATCAGAATGGAATCAAATTTCAATTAAAATGATAATCAATTTCAAATCATTTTCTTATTTTGATAATCAGTTACTTTATATGAAATATCAAGATTTATTAATCTCATTTCATTTATATTTCAATAATTCTAGTCACTTTACACTTTCATTCTGATTCTGATTTCACATAAAATCACATCATGAAATGGATTGAAATCAAATCAAATCAAATCAAATGTGTAATTCATGGTTCCACCAGTAAGTTTAATTGTTTCTCTTCAATTTTCAGAAACAGCATTAATTGATTCTTGATAAAATTACAGTAAAAATAATTGAAATAAAAGTAATTGATTGAAAAGAAATTTTTAATCCAGTGGTATCAGTTACATGGTTTTTCTTTCATGTAATATAAACTTCCCATATACTATATACATTAGGCAGTATAGGAATAAATAATAATAATAATAAAAGCAGTTATCAAACGAGTGTGATTATTTCATTATTAATATGAGTACATATGGTACGCTGGGGTATATATTAAATATACATTAAAAAAGATCGAGAGTGGTGAAATATGGGCGCGTTTCGTTTACCAAGGGGTGACTTAGAGAAAAAAGATATCGCAATTGAATGGAACATGGGAAACATCAAAGAGGATGTAACAAGCCGTCTTGATATAAACTGAAAATTGATGGAAAGAGTTACTAGAATACTATCAAAAACTACAGATGGGGAGCACAAAAGGGAAGGGAAAAGTGGTCCCATCACAAGATTTGTATATGGAACATTGAAGTTATCTGTGAAGTCTATGCTCCCCACATATCCTCATCGCTCATGACTAGATCTTCCTCCTGTTGTACTCGCAGTCCATTCTCCTTCCTTTTCTGTTTCCACTCTCTCCTGGTTACTACATGGCTAGGAGTAATAGGGGTGATCGGCGTGAAGGGCATGTAAGGGGAATATGGCGTGTGCGGGAACCCCGTTCGAGGGCCACCGGCCCTCAACATGCTCTCCCGACGCTCAACGATCGTGGTTTTAGTTGGTGTAGTACTTGCAGGCGAGGAGAATGCGCGAAATGGTAGCGTCGAGTTACTGCTGCCGGTTCTGATATTGAGAGGCGTAGGGGCTTTCTGGGGTGGGGGGTCAAGAGATTTTTGGCCTGGATTGAGTGGAGGAGGTCCTGGGGTGTATATCCGAGGTGATAGCGGTTGGGTTTCAGAACAGTTACTCGACGTCAGTTCAGGAGAATATAGGGGAGGTGAGATTGGAAGATTTCGCACCGACTTCCTTCGGGCTTTTCCGCTAGTCGTAGTGTCACGAGAACGCGAGCTGAGGAATGAAAGATTAGAAAGCCTCGATAACCGATGAGCCATTGGCGATAGAGGCGAGGAGGGCAGTTGCTGATGCTGCTGTCGCTGCACTTGGAGCACTGAAGGATCTTTGGGAGGTGGAAATGTGGGCAGGTTCTTCAATCGGGCCTGCTGTGGATGTACAGGTAGTACAGGTAGTGCAGGCTGTCTTAGATGTCGAAATTCTGGAGGCACTTCAATAGATTCAGGAGAGAATGATGTGGCTTGTTGCTGTACGGGCGAAGTGTTATCGTCTTCGTTCATATCGTACACAGAACGAGATTGCTTTGCGTCATGCTCCATAACCGCGGCGTAGAGCCGCTCCATTTCATCTTGGGCTTTCATTCGGTCCGCCTGAACGACAGTCTCATTGAATGTGGCCATACTCCCAGTTTGGGAGATCGGCGACGTAGGACTCCTAGAAGTGTTTGACCAAGGCATGCTGAAGTTGGATTTCCCCTTCTTTGGGCTTGGCCAGATATGAGACTCTACTCCGCTTTCTGGAGTTAGCCAAAGTCTGCTTGGTGTTGCGGGGCTTATTGCAGCGTTGAGTGTCAGTTTTTGCGGCTTGACCATTTCCAAGTCAAGAGTCCGGTTGGACTGTTGCGCGCTACGTCTTAGCCGTCTCCCCGTTGTGAGAAGGCAGCCCAGGAATATAACCACTGTGCCGACGTATGCGCCTACTACGGCGACAATATCTCTCCAGAGGAGATTGAGATCGCGAGTCGCAGAAGCCGAAAGTGGAGGGCCGTCCTCTGGGGCTGGAGCCGGGCCTTTGAAAATGTTGATTGACCGAATTGAGGCCGTATGGACAATAGAGGCCTGAATCAAAAGCAGGAGAAGACAAGAAACAGAGGGAGAAGATGGCAACCGTGAAGCGGACATCTCTTGACCTTCCAAATGTTATACCGCATCCGACATGCCAGGAATAAAGGCTCCCAGGGAATCCAGGTCACTTCCACCACTATAAGAAAGGAAGTAAGAGTTTACCACACTGCGGGGTTATGCCAGATATAAGATCCATGCGACGAGAGTCAACCCTAAAAATCGTTCTTGGATTCGCAACAGGAATCTGCGGACGCCGCTTGAGCGATTGGTTCGATGCTATTCATGCCGCACATCTCGTGAGGTAAATGGGAGGGAGAGTAATATGAAGCCAGAGAAAGGCAGTGAGAAGCGGATCATCGTGATCCCCAGAGCCACTATTATTCAGTATCCACGCCGGAAAATGGAAGTGCTGGGATTCCCAAGCTATCATGGTGGCCACTGGCTAGCACATTGTTCGAACTGGGCTGAGTGGTCTTCAACAAATGATTGTTGCAGATTAAGCGCCGAAATTCATTGACAGCTTAATCGACACCAGCCCCGGCTACAAGAGGACAACCAACCCATCTCGTGGGCTAATGCTATTGGATGAGGAGCCCTACAGTTTCTGGCCTGGCTGCATGACCGCATGCTCTGTCACAATCACACCACACCCATCACCTTTTCTGCCACTTACAGGCTGATAATACTGTAGCTGTGGAAGCAGAGACCCTCTGATAATACCAGCCCATCTGGATTGGATGATTGGTAGAAACCTTTAAGCCAATTTTCAACCGCATTTCTTCCCCAGCCAGGAATGTGAATTGTTGTCAAAGGGACCAACAGAAATTCTCTACCTGTGCGATTGCGGAATTCCAATTGCTGCGTGGGATCACCATGGACTGAATAGCTTCCTTCAGCAAAAGATTCAGGAGGCTCCCTATTCGATCGGAGGATATGCTTCACGGCAAACGCTCTTTAGTTGAGTTTGAATAGGTTTCCAAGATTTCACCATGTGACAGAGAGATACGTAGAGTGGTTGCGAGCCTTAAAACAGTTGCCTAGCCTATCGGAATCCTCCTCCCTCCGTATTTTTTTTTCAACACAGAATAAATAACCAAGCCTGTGCAGAATTTCCTGCAAAAGTTTTGACTTACACTAACAATTTAAGCTGACATGCTACTACCGGTATTAAGTATTGGTATTCCATCTCTTAATGAAAAGAATAGGGAGTCCCAGGAGGCTTCACAGGCCAATGTCCCTAGCTTGTCCACTAGCTCGCTGCCTAAATCCCAGGTGGTGTGGTCTGGAGATGCAATACACTAGTAAGGATGTTTCAGAGTAAATAAATTCTTAGCGTGAGGCACAACTTTTCGCAGCCCCTCTGTTGCACTGGTGAGAGATACCCGGTGTTACAAACCGAAGTGTAGGTTCACTCGATTTCCCAGTCGATTATCCATCCATATAACAATGCGATGGCAAGGGATGGACGTACAGCTTCTACCTTTGGAGATCTGCATGAACCTTTTGGGACTTGCGAAGCTGCATGAAAACCTACACCCACCTCCTATGAGGGTTTACCCTATGGCCAATTCTCTGCCTGAATGGTGCCTTCCGCCAGAGCTGTTGTGAATTGGCAGATTACCATACCATTACATTGCACAACAGTGAGACGTCTGCTTGCCAATTTTCTCTGGCTGTCGCCGATAGATCCGATTTCCAGGGTCTAATGAAGAAACTCCCTGAATCTGCCCTTGCAAACAGAGGAAGTGCTCGTTTTCTAGTCATTTTAATCACGACACGCACACTACCGCTCATCCGTATTATATATACACTCCTTAATTGTCCTTCCACACTCCTTTCCGTTATTCTCTTTCTACAAGCACCTCAGCCCATTTCCTTCGCATCATGGGTAATAAAGTCTCTGCAGTCACTGGGGTCCGCTCTCCCAATTTTTTCGAGCCTGGGAACGCTGTAAATGAAGTCTGGGTGGGAGATCTAGAGGTCATATCACGACTTCCTTTTGGCGATTCGGATATGGCACAAGCTGGTTGGCCCAAAAATGACTATCCGAAAATTCCCTGGCGCCCATTTATTATCCCTCTTCGTGCTACATTCTCCGCGGCAATGAAACTGGAATCGCTGCCGTCGATTGCCGATCCCGACTTGGGCTGGATCGCTTCTTTGCGCGGCTTTGCGGAAAGGAAGCTGCTCCACATCTGCTGGGTCGCGATGAAAATACTCGCCATACCAATGATGATGGTGCCAATTGTTTTCCATCTTGTGTTACAGGATCACCTCACGGCCTATGGTGATGGTGAAGACGAATCGCCAGATCGGACTCTCCCGCTCGCTGATGATGAGGCCGTGCCGCCGCAAAGTCCTCCTCCACGAAAAAGGCGAAATGCAGTTTATACCCGTGCTTTGTTGGGTTCCGTATTTCATATTACCGGGGTACTTCTGGGTTACGCATTTGACCACGGATCCCTGTTGAATTTGATTCGCATCCATGAACCATCCCTTGAGCATACAGGCTCTGGCGTTTCTTTCCTCCAATATTTTGCCGGGACAGACACGCCCACCGTATATGCAGCGATGTCAATAGTTTTGTTCTTGAATTCCGCTTATTCGGTCTTCCGCTTATTATGCGCTTATTATCAGTTTCGACAAATTGATGATAGCTAAGTGAGACAGGATAATATGAAGGATACGACGGTAATTTCGCTCCCGCCGTTATGGATGAGGATATGATGTTGGAATGCCCACTGAGTATAGTATTGCCTGCCGTGGAGTCTACCTGCCTGGCTCTGCAATTTCTGAGTGTGTGATCTACACGCATTTCCTTTTTTCTACATATGGTGATCTTGCCAGGCATATAGTTATGGTCTCGACATCCAGAGGGACCCCGTTCGGGGTAAGGTGACAAGATCCATCCTCGTAATATCCTTTCCTATGCGCTAGGCTTTTCTAAACTAGCAATTTTGGGGCCGTTAAATATCCAATATCTGCATTGCAGTTGCAATCCCCCGTCTTGGAAAAAGCGCTGGGCATGACAAGCATGATCACGATGATGCATTTTTGCCGTACCATCTTTCCTTCAAATGCCACTAGCAATATTTCCTTATCGATCCCTCACCACACCTTTTGCGAGCCTCAGAAGAGTTCGACCGGTCATGCCCATGCACGCCACACAATGCTATCACTCGCGATCCATTTAAAAAAAGGTGCTGGAATGGACATGTCACCCCTTGGCAGGCACAGTGCTCTTAACCGCATATTCAATGCCCTAAGAAAACTTCCTCCCAAAATACCCGTTCTACAAGTGCATGGAATTAATGTGAGAATTTAGGCTGTTGTATTATGATTCCGATTCCATAGATCCGCCAGAATGGTTTAAATCCATATCGCTTAAACTGATCCACTTCATAAATCGCAAATTCTACTCCAGAAATAGACTTTAAATAAACCCTTCTCATGGACATTGTCAGGAACACCGTGACTAAAATGGTGAGGCTTCTCTGCTTCCCTACGTTGCAGCTCAGCTGGTAGAGACAAGAGCCACGACAGCGTAACAGGAGAACAATTCTCGCTCCAGCCTCAGGAAGGGCGTCTGACCCAGGAGTAGGGCTCTGTTAGTGAATTTAGCTTTTTGATCGCCAGGTTGTGGTAAGCCTATTTGATTTTGAGGTAGACGTCATCCCAAAGTGTGGGGACGAATGGCAGAAACTGAAGTTCGGCATGGGTTCGGAGCCTTGGTTTATGTTACACGGGGAAGTTCGGAGAGTTGGGGCCTGTTCAGTGCATCCGTGTGTACTCATTCTTTTTGCACAGATCTCCACTTTTTTAAAAAAGTACAGCTCAATATGACGACTGTTCAGTGGGCAGAGCAGCTGTACTAATATTACAACTTTCATTTATAAAGTATGAATGAAAAAGATCAGATATTCAGTGGATTGAGCAGCTGTACTCATATATTTCATCAAGATCATATGAATAAGCAGTATTTAATTTCAATGATGTGTGACAGTATAGAATAATGCTTTTAGAGACAGAATAGCATTCATAGTAAAGATAATTAATTAATATTGATTAGAAAAAAAACTTATAAAAATATATTCTTTTTAAATGAAGTTCAAAATTCATTCAAAAAAAATGTATTCTTGTAAGCTTCTTTCTCCATCATATAAAAGATTGTCAGTGAAAATCAGTATGAAAAACAATCAGCAGTAGAATGATGAAATGAATAAGCAGATTTTATAAACTGCAATTTAACAGTATATCAATTCTCATCAATAATTGTTCATCAAAATAACTATAAATTTGATGATGAGAATTTCTTTAATGTTATAGAAAAGAATATTATATGAAAAATCTTTCATCAATGCTTTATATACTGCTCAGCTGCTGAATTCAAATATCTACTTTAATTGTATTAAAAATGTCACATATCTTTGTTGAGAAATGTTTATGCAATTCATTATTCTTCTCAAAAAATATACAATTATATCTGAATTCAGTGTTATAAATGTGATGAAAATGAAAGAAGAAGCAATAATATTTCTCTATATTATTATACAATAATCTTTATATTGAAATACTGTGAAAAATCTTGAATATTTATTTAATACAATTTCAAAGTATTTTATAATCATCGGATAATTTTTGTTATTTTGAAAATACTCATTCATTTTATATAAAATATTTTATGAAATATTGAAAACACTTTGTATACTTTACAATCAACGTATACAATTGCTAAAATCTTTTATGAAATATAGTGAAGACTTATTCAATAACGATTCTAAACAATGATTATTACCCCGGTGGCCGAATGGGTAATGCGGCTATCAGATAGCGTCTTGATGTGGAGACTCAAAGTATGTGGGTTTGAAACCCATAAAAGAACAACATTACATTCAGAGCAAACTTCTCAGCTTTTAAAATAAAGAGATGTGAACTTGTCAAGTAGATACCTTCAGATGAATCTACTATCTGATTTAATTTATTATTTTTGAGTTGAAAATCTGTATCATGAATATCAAATTCTGTCTTTTATTAATTTTTCTATGTTTTTGTTATATTCTTGATATCATTCAACACTAAGCATTTTTTCTGTATAATCAACTCTTGTCTGTATTTAACATTACACAAGAACTCATCATATGCACTGCTTGTATGTATGTATGTATGTATGTATGTATGTATGTATAGATTTAACATCCCGGAGAAAACACGGGCAGCATCCGTGTTTCAGAAGCCTTCTGAAGGGTATGGAAATGTGCTACACTGAAGAGATTTCTATATACACAGAGAGAGAGAGAAAACAGAATTCAGATGGCAACTTTTGAAAAATTCAACTCATTGCAAAGGATTTTTCCTGAGCTGCACATCCACTTCTGACTCAATGTATGACCATTCATGGTGGGGTTATAGTGTGGTTCTCTGAGGGGACTTTTGCTGCTGTGTCTAAAAGGCTTTATAGTGAGCAGAGAGGGATATTTTTCTCAGTTGATCAAAAAGCTATTTGTGCTTCTAACATCAGAAGAAAGATAGATAAGATAAATGAAAGAAAGAAAGAGAAAATATATGTTCTGAAATGAAAAGAATAAAAAAGAAAGATGAAGAAAAAATTGTGTCATCTATAACATCTTGCAATTATGTGATTTGGCACAAATCTGAAAAAAAAGAGGAGAGAGTATTGAAGAAGATTGTGAAAGAAAAAAAGCAGAGAATGGCAAAGAGAGTAAAGAAAAGAAGAAAGAAGAAGTGTTTGAACTGATAAAAAGAAAAACAAATGAAAGAAAAACAAAGCAAAGTATGTGTAGATATAATGCCAGCAGTCAAGAACATATCAGCTAAGTCAGACATATAGATTGTATTGATTATATCACAATTAAATGAACCAAATAAATTTAGTTGTGCTATTTGTACTGTCTGAATAGACTGTGTTGTCTCTGGCAGTTGTACTAGCCACTGTGAGTGTACTCAGCAGACCGGCCTAATGGAACTGCTGTGAGGGTTATTAGATGATGTGCAGTCAGTCGGTTGTGTTACTTTATGCAGTACTGTGTGTAGAACTGTGTGCAGTTCAGCAGTTCTACAAAATTTGTAGAGATCAGAGACTCTAGATAGACAATAACTGTTGTTCAGTTGTGTGGCTATGCTGTTGACCTCTTAAGTCAGTGAGGGAGGTGTTTTTGTGAATGTCAACAGAGCATCAAATGTTTTGAATTTTTATTATATTCATAAACACAAATCAGTTTCATATCTGCATGCTGGAAACATCTGTGATATCAAAAGAAGTCTTTATGAGAGAAGTGAAATGCAAGTCAGTAATGAAAAACATGTTGTGACATAATGTATGTATGTATGTATAGGTTTAACGTCCCGGAGAAAACACGGGCAGCGCCCGTGTTTCAGAAGCCTCCCGAAGGGCATGGAGACGTGCTACGCTGGAGAGATTTCTATGTACACAGAGAGAGAAAACAGAATCCAGGTGGCAACTCTTGAGAAGACTCAGCTCATTGCAAAGGATTTTTCTGAGCTGCGCATCCACTTCTGGCCCGACGTATGGCCATTCATGGTGGGGCTATAGTGTGGTTCCCTGAGGGGACCGCCGCCTCTGCCGTGCCTGGAAGGCTTTATAGTGAGCAGAGAGGGATACCTCTCTCAGTTGATCAGAGAGCTGTCTGTGCTTCTAACATCAGAAGAAAGACAGACAAGATAAATAATGAAGGAGAGAGCACTGAAGAAGGTTGTGACAGGAAGA